GGGGGTAGGGGATGGGGTTAAAAAATTGAATTTAAAAACAAACTTTAATTTTATTTTATTGGTGGTGGTTGGGGGCTGATTTGAGGATAGGGACAAAATAAATTGATTTTTTCAACAAAAAAATAATTGTAATTTGAAGTTGGAAGAGAGTTTTGGAAAATGTTTTCCTTAAGTTTTCAAGAAAAGTCATTTTCCTTAAATTTTAAGAAAATAAGTTGATTTGAAAAACATTTTCCAAAACATTAACACAACCAAATATGAGAAAATTGAAAAAAATTTACTCAGCCTGAAGAGATTTTTGTTTCTTCATTTTATTTTCAATTGTAATCTTGTAATTTTATTATCTTGTAATTTTTCACTTACAAGGTCTGTCATTAATGTATACGAGAAGCTTGACCACCTTATCCAACGTCTCAATAGCATCATCACTGAGTTTTTCACTTCCACCTTTCTTAAGAATATTATCACAATAAGAAGCAAGGAGCTCTGCACTTGAAAAACCAGATACAATCTTGTTACAAAAGACCTTAAATGCCTCCTTGAGAGCCTTATGAAAGAGAGAGTTATTAGCGAAACAGTTTGTAACATAAGCCATATCGTAAAGCTCAACTAACTTTATAACAAAGAATGGAGTTTCAGAGTTGCTATTTGCTGTATCTTCAGCCTGTTGCACCAAGACCATGCCTTGAGCAACGACATGCTGCTTAAACATATTTGAAACCCTTGTGGAATAGCCTATACATTCGAGATAAATCTTCTACCTTATCATCATCTCTAAGCAATACTCGGCATCCAGAATGCTCCTTCTCAAGTAACTGATTGGTATATACAACCAACAATTCATATTGCACTTTCTCTAAAAGTTTTGTCTCACTAACAACATGGAGATAATGAGACACTCTATCTTTCTCTTTCTTCAAGCACTCCTCTGCCTTCAACATATAATCCAACTTGAAGCTTTTCGAGAATAATAAGTTGCAGTACGTTTAAGAATTGCATCTTCAAAGTCATTCTGATAATACTCCATTCCAATTCCAACAAATATATCAAGCAACCTTTGTCTGTCAATCTGCTCACCCTCACGTTCTTGATCAATCAACACAATAAATGCATCTCTAGATTTACCCTTCAACTCCTCATAAACCAGATCACGAAAGCACATCAGAACAATTTCATCATAGAGACCTTCGGGAAATAAAAAATCGTTCCAGATTATGGAAGAACCGTGAGAGCCACCTAATCATAATTTTGTGATTCGCCCATCTTTTCACAATCTCCCTCAATTTGAACTCATTGTGCCTTTCTCGTAAAGCAGGCAGAACAGTATAATTGATATATTCTACAAATGTTTCCCTGTAGTTGTCATACAAGTGTTGTGAGTAATCATTTGGCGGCTTATTTTGTGTGCACATGTTAAATATACTTGTATAGAACATCATCTACTCTACAGAGCTGAAACAAAGCTCTTCTCCTTCTAAAATTTTCTTCAATTTAGTGATTCCCTTCTGCATAAATTCCCATCCTTCCTCAAACTCAATAATCTTCACCTCGCTCATTGCCTAAGTAGTTGGAGAGCTCAATCACAATCGCCGGAGAGTTTAAAACTCAAAAGTTGTTTAATATGACTTCAACTGCTCTCTATTCTGTATATTAAAAATATTCAGCAATACCCCTATTTTTTATAATACAAGTATGAAACCAAATTAAACTATGATTAGAAAATTTATTCTTATATGAACTAGGACAAACAAATTCTAACTAGACATTATTAAATAAATACCAAAAATAACAGATTCTAAACAAATTATGATTCTTTTTCCAACTTTGAATTATTATTCGAACAACATCTACAACCCTCCCTAGAAATATTACTAGCTCCATTTGTCCCTTTCGACCTTTTCCTCTCTTGTATTTTTCGTTTTCTTTGAGTAATCTGCATCCTTGTAAGTCAAAAGAAATAAACTTTGATTGATCTTAATTCATTTATCTTTTAACTCCTATTTACAAATTTTAGTCATTAGCTTTTGAATATGGAATTAGTTGCCTAGACATCATAGTTATTGAGAGAATTACAAATAAAAATTAAAACACTAATTTCTCCTTTTTTAAAATTTTAGGGAAAACGACACTTTTAGTCCTTGTGTTAAGGCTATGTTCTTATTTTACTCCTTGTGTTATCTAACTTAGCACTGTTAATCTTCAATTATATCAAGTGAGTGATTTTAATCCTTCAACTAACAGATCCAAAAAAAAATTAACAGAAAGTTCACTGCTAAAAGGGACAATTTGGGTATTTCATTTTAATTATTTGTATGTTACCATACTTATAAGTGTCCTTAAGCTTCAATTTTACTTGTAATCAGTTGGAAGAGTTGATTTTGTAATACATGCAGTTCAGATTATCACTGTTGTCGAAACTGACAACAATTGAATGGAATTCTTCGAGATAAATTAAAGATGTGTAGATTCTAAGATAAAATTGACAGCATTGAATTTATGTGGTGCTTCTGATGATGCTAACAATTTTTTTTAATTTCTAATCAAAATTTAATATGGTGTGTTACCATACAGGTCCTTAGGGTATTTGAAATTGAGTTCTTTTGGTAGCTTGAAGTTTACAAATAATATATTTAGAATCATATTTTCACATATACAAATAATTTGCATAACATTAAGGAAAAACAATTCAAAGTATTCTGGTATATTTGTTGAGATATTTTTCTTTGTCTATTCAACTTAAAAGAGTACTCACATGATGGAGTGAATTTCAACCCACTTTTAGAACGCAGTTCCATTGCACATCCACACCAAATAGATCGAGACTTCTTCGTTGTGAAGAACTAGGGTTGAACTAGGTTATGCAGCGAACATTTTTTTAAAAAAAGTTTTCTATTTCTCAAGCAATAACTTTTAAATACCCGAATTGCCCCTTTTAGCAGTGAACTCTCTGTTAATTTTTTTGGATCTGTTAGTTGAGGGATTAAAATCACTCACTTGATATAATTGAAGGTTAATAGTGCTAAGTTAGATAACACAAGGACTAAAATAAGAATATAGCCTTAACACAGGGACTAAAAGTGCCGTTTTCCCATATTGTTATTATTTAAAAGGTGATGAATTAAGAAAATAAAAAAGGCGATCAACATAGATAATTAATCAAGATAAGACTTAATAACTAAGTTTACACTTTCTTTAATTTGTCAACCTTTCTTCTTTCTTATACTCTTATATTTTTTTTATGTATGTCATCTGTCAAAATCACACGTAGTTGATATTTTTCTATTTGTCCAAATATTGATGTATAGTGTTACGTGATATATTTGTTATTTTCCATCTATTAAAACATGATGGATAAAGTTACCCTCTACATGTATTCATATCACAAAAATTAATTAAATTTTACTAAATTAGTTCATTGGCTCTTGAATATTTCATGAAATTAGTCAAGATGTATATACATAACCTAACTCATACACTATAGTTATCAAGTAAATCACAAGTAAAAATTAGAACATAAATTTCTCTTTTTTTAAAATTATTTAAAAGGTGATAAATTAAGAAAATATAAATGTCCACCAGAATAGATGATCATCCTATTATTGTACAATAGTGTAAATAAATTAAGCAAGAAAGATATTAATCAAGATATGACTTAATAACTACGTTTAATTTTGTATTTTTCATACAAGAAGAAAAGTTTTTTATATCTTTTGATTTGCTACTTAAGATCGCTCAAATATCTTATTGCATAGGCGGATCCATGTGTGTGAGGGTGCATATGCACTTGTTAACTTCAAAACAAAATCATGCAAATATATGTATATCAGTATATTTATCTTAAAAAACTGACAGAAACTAAATATAAGTAACTGTGGCCCCATTAAAAGCATAGAAGGAGACTTGATGTTGCTAGTACAAGACAAAGAATTAACCCACACGATCAGGATTCAATCTCAACTAAAACCTCATTTTTTAAATCATTAGTGATCAATCAAATATTACGCAAAATAAAGTGAGATACTTTAAAATTAAATTCATATTATGATGGCTTAATTGATAATATAAATTTATCTTTATCAATTTTTTAAAAATCTCATCAAACTTGACATTATCATATATCCCATAGCTTTGGTTGGTAAATGAGTACAAAAATTATAGTTGTCAACCTTTCTTCTTTGTTACACATTAATATTCCATACGCAAGATAAAATGAGATATTTCATAATTAAATTCATATTGTGTTAAATTTTTTAAATATCCCATCAAACTTGACATTATTATATATCATCGCTCCATGCCAATAGATAGATAAATGAGTTTGTAAATTATAATCTTGAGATCATTTAATCTGCAAACCAAACAACATGACACGAAAAAAGAGTAATCAAACTTTTCTTCTTTCCTATCCTTACTATGAAAAAAGACACACTAATAATTGATTTTATCAATAAAAAAATTCCAATCATTTTTTAAGTAGAACTGAAAACCAAAAGTGAATAGAATTATGTCATGGACCTTTGGCTGGAACAAAATTAGTAATTGAAACTTCATATAACCTAGCAATTATGGTACTTTCTAGATGCTATGATTTCTCTAATGCAAAAGGGTCAAAAGTCAATTTCTTACATGACCATGACCAAAAGAATTTTGTATATAGTTTGTATCTTTTCTTTACATAGACATGAACAAGATTAAGACTAAAATAAAATTAGACCATGTTAATTGTCTCTTCATCAAAGTAGCTCCATTGTTTGTTGAAGTATCAGATTCTGAAAGAGCTTTATAACTAAAATTAGGGTTTGAACCATAAAGAGCTTGTATTCCCTTAATATCATCCATTTTCAAATCAACTTTCTTTTCTCTTGGTTTTAAGCTAGGGAACATTACTGCTTCTTGAACTGAAGTATGTGCTAACCCTAACAAATGTCCAATCTCATGTGTAGCTACTGATTCCAAATCAATAGCTACATCTGATTTCTCTCTTTCAAAGTCAACTGCCCATGTCTCCGCCGCGTCTAGATGGAATCTACCGGTTTCTGGTGAAAATGCATGAGCTAAAACCCCTAGAACACCATCAAATGACTCTCCATCTCCATGATCACCTTTGTAAAACCCTATTTTAATATCTGCAAATCCGTAATCGTTGCTTTCCATGAAGGTAACCGGTATTACCTGTTAAGACATAATATAATTAAGTACTCTCTTTGTTTCAAATTGTTTGGCCTATTTTGAATTTACACGGAGTTTAAGGAAGTAAAAGAAGACTTTTGAATCTTGTGGTTTAAAATTAAGGATAAGTCAAATGTATCAAAATGTCGTTTAATCTTATAATCTTAAACATGTCAATGTGGAAAGTTGAAATTAAAAAATTGCTAAAAATTGAAATAGTCATTCTTTTTTAAATTGACCAGAAAGGAAAGTATTATATGTCAAACAAATTGAAACGAATGAAGTAATTAAAAAGGTGATGTTTCCAAAAACTCACAAATTTTTTAAATGAAATAGTTATATACTAATTCAATACGGTATAAGAGAATGTACAAACTTAAAGGTTTAAATTTCACCTCTATACCCACAAAAAGAAAAAAAAAATATCTTCACTTGTTTGGACTCATGAAAAACAGTTATTTAAATATACAATAGCACTTCATGAAGCAACGACCCAACATATTCATGAAACATAGTCATCATTTGGGGAAAAAATTGCAACAACAATTTACGAGGACTATGATGCATGTATAGTACAATTAAAATGAGGGTAATATGCTGTTCAACAAACTTCAAATGATATTGTGTGTTGAGAAATAGTTATATATTACTAACAACTTAAACTTTTAGATGAGATACACAAACTAACATTTTCTATATAAGTTATTTGAATTAATAAAAAGGATATATGTAGAGATATAATTTAACAACTTAAACTTTTAAATGAAACAGTCAGAGATTTTAATATTACCGATGCCCAATGGTTGAACGCGCGTTGAAAAGCATCCTTTATCTCCAACATACTCAATGAATTTATTACATACTCTTTAGAGAATGCATACGTTAACGTTATTGGTATACTTCTAGACCATCTTGGCTTGCCTGTGAAAAATGCATAGTTTCTCTTTGCATGCATGAATAATTTAGGCGTAGAATCGGATACGCCACATCTAGGTGAAATAATCTGAGAAACTGTATTTTCATCAAGTTTTCCCGTGACTAAAAGGCCTAACTTTTCTTGATATTTAATCAAGGCATGTTCTAAGTGATCATCAAATAAATCTGTGAAGTTCAAGCTATTATAATCCATCTTCATATATCCGAATCGATGAAAATATTTCTTGAGCTCAGAAATTCCATTGATTTTGTTGCCTTTGCTAGCATCCACAAAAAATTTAAATTCATGCCATGTATAAGTTTGAAATTTATGATCATGATTTGTGGGATTAATAGTTTTGGAGGGAGAAAAGAATGTTTTTGTTCTAGTAGAAAGGCATGGAGAGAAGAAGAGAAAGGAAACAAGGAAGAAATAAAAGAAGAAAGACATTGAATTGTGAGGAAATTGAGATATGGGAGAAGAAGCTCTGTTATAAAGGAAAGGTCAAATTTGTTATATTTCCAAGTAGGTATGTAATTATTTAGTACTCACTTCTTTTTTATCTGATTTTGGTTTGATACGAAGATGAAATGTCAAACAAAGACTTTGAGCGTTGGGGTTTTAAATTAAGAATATTAAAAATGTATCAAATGTCATTTAATCCTGTTATCTTAAAAATGTCAGTAAAAAAGTTGAAATTGAAAAGTTTTTTTTAAAAAAAACGGTGTGTATTAAATAGATTATATAATAGTACAAACAAATTGAAACCAGACACTATACTTTTGTGGTTGTTAGTCTCTTTTTCTTTTCTTAAGGTTTGATTCTGACTGTGAAAGAATAAGGGGAGATGGTTGGTGAATCACTATCTTGCTTTTGGGTTTCTTATGTATTTATTTTTTTATTTTTTAATAGTATTAATGTATTTAATGTACATATTTGAACAGGCTAATTGACATTTGTTTTCGATTAACAATTAATTTATGTTATCGTCTCCATTTAAGGAGTTTTTCGAATGGGCAGAATTTGCATACACTAATGACGCTATAGTACGTTCATGTTTGATGTTTCTATCAGTAGTCCAATTTAAATAAACAAAATTCAATGGGTCAAGATATTGAATTTGAAAAGATGAAGGGTTTGTTTGGTAGGAAGGAAAATATTTCCGAGTGCATTCCTTATTTATTTTCTAATATTTAATATGTAAAAAAACATATTATCTTAAACCACTTTTATATAAGAGATCAGGCACAAGTATCCCTAGATTATGATTAAAATCTCAGAGACGCACCTTAACTAAACTAAAGTCTTATTACCTCCACTCCCAACTCATTTTTTTTTGTAATTTTGTACATCTTTTGATTTACATGGCACACTCTATGACTCCACATAGTTAAGGCGCGTGGAGATGTTTGGATGTCACGTAAGTCAAAAAGATGTACAAAATTACAAAGAAAAGGGTTCGGGGGTAATATGACCTTAATTTAGTTAAGATGTGTCTCTGAAATTTCGATTATAGTCTAGAGAGTACTTGTGCCTTATCCCTTTATATAATCTATCAAAATTCTATGAGGTGAGATGGAGATGGAGATGGAGATGAGGAGTCGGGGTATGTGGGTGGACGGTGATGATGGTAGGATGGTCAAGGGTGGGGGTTGGAGGTGTTGGGTGGATAAGGTGAAGACACTGAACTTGAATGTCACTTATAAAATCAATATATATTTTATAATTCTATTAAAAAAGTTATTTTTCTCATTCTAAATAAATTTATTTTTCAAAACATTTTGAACTTTTTGGAAATTGCTGATATAAAACACACCCTAAGTATTACGTTTATTATCTCACTAATCCATAAGAAGGATCTTCTATATATGTTTCTTTTTCCTTAAGTTTTGTGTCCTACTATCATGTTGGTTGTTTCTCAAAATGAAGAATTTAAGGTGTGGACTATGTCAGAAGCAAGAGGGCTCATAATTCTTGGTAAGGTATGGCCACAACACAATACATATTGTTAGTATTTCAAAGGGGTTTGTTTGATTTTCAAGTAAAATAAAAGTAGCACTACTAGAAGGTGGTTATGATAATGATTGCTACAAAAAAATCAGAAAAAGAAAGGTCGTTTGAGACGTGTAAGAAACTCAAAAAGAAAATGTCCTTTTCTAAACTTATACTACTATTTGCTTGTTAGGTAGTGGTTAAGACTCAAAAGTGTTATTTATAGGGGAATAAATACAGTAAAATTATGTTGGAGTCAATGCTGAATTCAACATTACAACTAGTGGTCATTGTCTCATTGAATTTGGTTTCGAACCAAAACAATCGGTAAGATTTCAAGTTGTAAAGGAGGCAAATGGGTGGATCGAGTTAAATATGAGCTGATAAAAAATGGGTGGATTGAGTTAAGTATGAGCTGATAAAAAATGAGTCACGTGAAAACAGATAAAATTCAATTGGATCAATATTTATACGGGTTAGAGATGAAAATCATTTACATTCCCTAATTTTGTGTTTAAAAATCAAATTATCTCCTCATTTTTAAAAGTATCAAGCATAAGTATCTCCTAAATTATAACAAAAATTTCAGCTATACACCTTAATTTAACTTGGGTCCTATTACTCTCATGAACTCAATTTTGTTGTATTTATGTGCATCTTATGTGCTGACATTGCACCCTCAATCAGGTTAAGTTAGATGTGCGTATAACATGCACTGCCATGTGTGTAAATATTTTTAAAATTTTTTATTCAATTTTTTATATTTTTTTTAAAAAATATTCTTATTTTCTTTTACCTTGTAGTTAAACTAAGTTAATACATAGTAACTTTTAGAAAAAATATAGTAAACTTTTTTTTTAATTTCATTCATTGTTTTTTCTTTTTCTATTGATTTTTTTTTAAAAAAAAAATTTACCTTTTCTAAATGTCTTGTATGTAAAATAAATTAATTTCGGACGAATATCAAAATATGTGTGTGCGCGTGTGTGCGTGTGTGTCTATTTTAATGTCAATACTTATGTGTATTAACTCATTGTAAATAGACCAATTAAAAATAGGCATGTGTCCTATATTTTCGTTGTTCACTTGCCTTCAAAAGAGTGTGTACACTCTCTATGTCACGTCAGCATTTAAGGTGAATTTATTCCATTTTAAAATAGTTTAGGGGGTAATAGGATCCTAGATAAGTTTAGGTGTTGTCGCAATCCAAAAATGGACATGATTGCACTTGTCTATTCCCACCAAGACAAGTCAGCCTCAACCCAACGAAACGAAAGAAAGCGGAAAGATAACACAAAAACGCGATAAAAATGGAAAACTTATTCATCTTATTAACACCCCCAAAATTTGGTTGTCACGTGTACAAGCCACTAATACATAAAGTGCGGAATTTAGAAATAAGTACAAGTCTCAGTGTTTGTTTTTCTAATAGAACAAAGTATAAAGAAAATGAAAAAGAGGGCCTGCCGAAATTACAAACAGCTACCTCTTCAATTCCACGACAAGCCTCGAAATCAGAAGACGGAGAAAGAGATCACGCGGGTCCAGGCTCGGAACCTACACAAGTGTAGAACCAAGGGGTGAGTACCAATAACACGGTACCCATCAATCAACCTACTAAACAAAGCAACTGAACCAAGTAAGTCAATCTCAACCGAACCTCCTGAAACTACAACCTGCACAGAAATCAACCCCACCTAGAAATTCTACAATATACGCCACAAGGCCCAATATCCACAGTTCAATAGCCACAGTCAATAATCAAACGAACCAAGTAAGTCAATCTCAAAGTTAAGTAGTTCAGTCACACGCAACAAGTACACCAAGCTCATGTAACAAGCAAGTAGCACATAAGCATAAAATGCATCAAGTTACAATAATCAATCTCTTGCCGGAACCATTTCCCATTGACTTTATAAACACTTGTTGAAAATGACCTCGACATTACAACACTCGTCGGCAAAGACCTTGGTATCATAACACTCGCCGGCAAAGACCTCGGCTTCATAAATCATAACATGTCTCATCACGGTGTTTACAATCAATGCACATCACAAATATCACACCACACAAAAGAGACAACAATTCACACAATTCAAGGCCACATTCATGCTTTCAAGCATTTCATCAATCAATCAATAAGGGTCACAATAAGGCAATCCACATCATCATGTTCATCACATACCCTTTTTCATTTCAACCCCTTTTTAATCCTTTAGATGTATCAAGTGGACAATTGAAACATTCACCTCATCCCCATTACTCCCAACACACAAGCAACGAAGGGAGTACACAAATTTTACTAGAACACAAGGTTTAGGAGTTCACTTGCCTTAAAGCAATCAATAATCACTCCAAGAGATGAGTCTTCCCTTTCTGAACCACTTACATATTTCTCATTTCAAAAGCTTGATTTAAACACATAAATCCACAAATAATAATGGGTAATAGAAGATTTAAAGTTAAGAATCATTACCAAAAGAATTTCCTCGAAAATCAGGTCCAAATCGTCACCCCAAAGCTCCCAAAACTCAAAAATGGTGAAATGAGGCTTAAACCCCGAAATAACAGGCCAAAAATCCTCACTGATGTCGCAAAGCGAACCCCTCAAAAAAATGTGGGCATTGCTAAAGTGAACAGCCTTCGCTAAAGCGAAGGTAGCTTAAGCGGAGGTTTCTTCGCAAATGCAAAGGTCATGATCAACATGGGTTGACCCTTCGCAAAATCGAAACAAACCTCGCTAAAGCGAGCCTCTTAAAAGCAAAGTTCACCAGAACACATACATCAGAAAATTAGCCAAAACTCTTAACATCAAAAGGACCATCAAAATTCATTTGGAACCCCGTACATACAAACCACATATGAAAATCAATTATACTTGACGTTCTGGACTCGATGAAATTGTCAAAACACGAATCTAGATCTCATTGACCCGACATCCGTGAAAACCACAAGAGACTAACTTAACATCTAAAAAGGCTAAAACAAGCTCGGGGTCTCTCAAAAATCAACCAAGACCTCACTTAGGCCTAAAATCATCCCCCAAATCCAACGGAACTCTAGGAATTCTGATTCGACCATCCGAACTCCGAATGTTGACCAAAGTCAACCCAAAGGCTGTAATTCCACAATTTCATAACTTAGGGCCTCAAATCCTCAAAAAGACTTTGAATCAGAAACCGACAACTCTTGCGTATCAAATTCCACATTCTGAGACATATGAAATCGACAGAATTCCATTCCGACACTTAAAACTCTAAAAGACACCGAAAATCACTTTTTTAACAACTTAGTATTTCTAACTCAAAACTTATTAAAATCTCAACTTTTAACTCAAAGTTCAAAATCAACTTTTCAAAACTCAATCATAGAAGACTTGGGGTCAATATTGGGATGAAGAAAACGGTAATTTACAAAGATTACCAAAAATGACCGACCAGGTCATTACAAGTGTGTCA